GACGAATCTGTTACATGCAGAGTAAAGCATGGGTAGAAAATTTGGTGAATATCTATTCACCTGCAAACAATATTTTGGGTGACCCATGCACTTTTTTTAATTTAACCATAGTTTTCAAAAATAAGCCTACTACGGCAATATTTTTACATATCGCTTTTGACGTTATTTCAACGTTTGTATTAAGTTTGGAATTTTTGAATATTTTGTCCTCGGCCTTCATTGAAGTGACATTGCTTGTCGAAATACGCATCTGGTGCAAGGACGTCGCAGTAAAATCGTGCCATAAAAGCTCGGTTAATATATGTTTCCATTTTTTCACGATCTTCTCTTGAAGGAAAAAATCATTAGTAATGAAAATATGCAATGTTTAATTTTCGGTAAACTTGCAGGTTTATATAAGGCCCCAATAGGTACCTTCCCCTTGATTAACGTTGACCATTGAACTGTCACAATAGTCAAGATCAGACGACTCAAGTCATGTGAAATTGCCACATATTCCTACAGAGAAATAGTATATTCCAAATATGGTTATGGTTATGGTAAATGCGATAAATAAATGTTGATCATTGAACCCTATGAAGAGGTCAAGATTAGATGTCATTTAACAACCTTTCTATAGATCTGATCGATTGATTTTTGTTTGATTAAAGTCCAACGGAGGTTATATCGAGGATATTGATGATGGGAAGCTATAAACATTAATAAATTAGGTAGGTTCTGCTAGTTGTGACAGCAGTTTATAGATCTCCTATAGTTGCATAAATATATTGACCAAAGCGAGAAAACTTTACATTGATTAATAAACCGTGATTTAAGAGTGACAAATGTGCAAAATCCTGCAAGACAAACGTGTTCACCTTTCAACCTCATTGTAGACCAAATACAATTCACCCATTATAGTAAATACTAAAACTGATACGAGCGCTAAAGGGATAACGTTAATCATTGAGATAGATTGTAACACTGTACAACATTCTGTATATAAATGTAGCAAGACTCAATCAATTTCTTAAGTCTATTCAAATACAAATCATCTTTACACAAAATAAAAATAAAACTTATGTTGAAGGCCGAACGGTGACCTATAGTTGCTAACTTTCTACGTCATTTAGTCTTTGGTGGACAGTTGTCTCACTGGCAATCATACCCATTTTCTAATTTTTATATTATGTTAAATACATGTAGTTATTAAACAATATGTCAAACGGAATTGAAAAAGCAAACGATTCGTAATCAAAGCATCACTTCATTATCTCCTCTAACTAACAGTCTTACTACAACGATAATTCCGCCAAAATAAAACCTCCTTGTAGATATTGCTTTTATATAACAGTTTCTTCAGAAAATTCAACAAGTACACTATCTTCAGAAAATCAAATGCCCTTGATAGTTTATTGGAGACGAACTTAATATGATATTAAGCTGGTAAAAAATGTACAACAAAAAATATACGAAACCCGGTAAACTAAAACCTAATAATCCAGTTGTTATATTCCGCCCACAACAATCACTACATTCTACATCCTCTGGTCGGCAACATAACAATTCTTTTAAGTACATGACCAGGACGTTCAAGCTGTGTCATTTGAGAGCAGATTTGACACTTGTGTGTCAATATGAGGTCAACGTGCCTCAACTGACATATAGGAGCGAAAATGGCAACTTAATTTTATTAATAATCGATACGAATACACAATGACACCTTAATAATTAAAAAAACAAGATTTACAGCTTATATATATACTATTTTTAACAATACAAACAATGACTTTACAAAATGTAAACTCAACATGAAATTAAATTTAAAAACAATCAGTTCTAAATTATTCAACTGAACTTAAAGGAATATTATGCAGAATATAAATGCAAAGAACTATCTCTAACTGTTACCAACGACGTTTTGACGTTTTACATAACCGACTATTCATTTTTGTTTTGTGAAGGTTTTCTTCTTCACACAAACAATTCTTTCTATTTTGTTAAAAAAAATGTCTTTTTCAATACCATACGGGAATAGGACATTAGTTTGTGAAACTCATGTTAAAAAAAAGTGTGCCTACTTTTGAAATGTTCATTGTAACCATATATTTATGTTAGTTTTAAATGCATGACATTATCCTGCAATTTGATGCATGCCGTTGAATAACAATAATCTAAAGCAATGAAAATATATGAAGCGCCCTATATAAAAAATAAAAATTACTCTTAGGCGCTGTACATGCAGCATGATAATTAAAGCAAAACATACAACATATCAGAAGCAAATACTGAAAATAACATACCACAAAAATGAATTCCATAAAAAAGGACAATACTGCAATACATATTGAAACAAAATAATACAGCTACAATCTTGTTGTCTAAATATTAGACGAAACAGGTAAAAACCCTAAAAAGGCATACAAAATGTTGCCTTAAAAGTAAATAAAAAAACAAATAAAAACCGTAAGAAAAATATGTTATTAAAACGCAATGCGATAAAAATACGTTTTAAGCTGAGATTTTAAACAATCTAGGGACTTGCATTGTCTCATACTGTTCGGGAGATTGTCTAAAAGAACCTCCGCCCAATCAAATTGTCTGTCGCTGTACGTCTTCGTCCGCACTTTTGGAACGGTAAGTAGTTGTGTAGAGCCTGAACGTAGAGATCAATTTGGCACGTGTATGTTGAACAGTTCCCAAATGTTAGCAGGGCTGATCCCATTCAAAGCACAGTACACGTAAATAAGTATTTTGTATTTTGGTCTGAATTGGACGGATAACCGATTACATTCGGCAAGTATCGGCGAAATATGTTCATGTTTCCTTTTCTTGCTGATAATTTTAGCTGCTGTACTTTATACTTTTTGTAATCTGTTCATTTTAGTCTTGTTGATACCGTATAGCAGAAAATTCTTGTAATCTAGTCTGGATGTTACTTAACAGTTCAATAGTGTCTTAAACACGTGTTACATGCGGCTGTTGTTATAAAGCTGCGAATGCGTCTATTATTACAGATGTGAAAATGACAGGACTTCAAAATGGCAAATACTGGCTGATGGAAATCCAAGACGTTTATCAAAGAATACTTCTAGGTTTTTCACACAGGATGCACTACTTATCACAGTATTGCCGACTTTGAGTTGAAGATTTGGTAAACTTGCCTTCAGATGTTTCGGTGTGTATATGATGAGCTCAGTTTTGTCTTGATTAAGTTTTAACATGTTTTCTACATCAATGAACTAATATCGGAAAGACACAGCTCAAGTTTCGGAGAGTTATTCTACCAGTTGTCTAGCGGCTTGATGACCATGTATACTTGTGTACCGTCCACATAGCAGCGAAATGTCATACATTGACAACGGCATATGCATTGACTTAAAGAAAAGGCATTACAATGTCGTGCCTAGCACGGAACTTTGTGAAACACCGAACGTAAGAGGACATTTCCTAGATGTAGTTATTCCAATCGCTACACCCTGATATTTTCCCCGTCAATACGACTTTAATCAGTAGAGAGCGCAACCAGTTATGTCATACGCAAATAACAGACGTTCCAGAATAATTCTGTGATCTATGACGTTGAATACAACAGAAAGGTCCAAGAGCACCAATACCGCTGTTGACTGTTTATCTTAAGCATCATTTATATCGAGATGTACTCTAGTTCATGCAGTTTCAGTTAAATGAAGTGGTCTGTATGCGGACTGAAGTAGATCACACAATTAATTAGAGTCCAAATGAACATCTAGTCTGTTATCAACTAACTATTTGAGAACTTTTGAAATGAAAGGTAAGTTGAACACTGGTCTGTAGTTTTTAAAAATATCTGAATCAAGTCCGGGTCTTTTTTTTTTAAAAAGGTCTCACAAGAGCCTTTTCAAAGTCTGACAGCACGCTTTTCTCATCAAATGATGCACTGACGATATCGGAAATTAATGGCTCAATCAGAACATTGTCAATTGGTTTGACAGAATTGGATCAAGCTCATAGGACTTGGTCGGTGTCTTTTGAATGATAGTTCGTATTTCATCATTGGTTGTATGTTTGAATGACAACAAAGGTGTTCCAGTGAATTCAAGATCAGATGTAGAAATGCGATATTGTCACCATTCACTTCACTTTGGTTGACGAAAAAAATCAGCAAATGAGTTTAAGAGTTCAACATTCGAGGATTAACTGGGAAGAAGGGTTTGATGTTGTTCACTCATTATATGTTTTGTTAGTTTAGATAACCGAAGATTGAGATTAAAACTTTCTTATCTTAAATGGTATTATATAATTGACTGTATAGATGACGCTGTTAAATATTTTTAAAAGTTTATTTCAAATTAATTTTGTATTACCATCCGTAACCGTTAATCGGTCTTTACATGCAATTCATTTACTTATAACTGATAACTATTCTTATACGATTAAGGTCGATTAGTTATCAACATGACGTGCAAAATGCAGAAGGACTCATTCGATTGAGAGTCCGTAGTCCAGTCGATACATTGTTAACTTTGAATTCCTTGCAGTGAACTCGCAAAAATTGAAGAAGATATGTGTTGATACTTTTAAGTTGAAACCGATGATTTAAGGATAAGTATCTGCTGATCATCGTTTAAGAGCAAAACAAATAAGAATTAAAAGGAAGACTGATGGGTATGATGTCGGGATATTTGAAAAGAAAGACGAAAATATTTCAATTTAACAAAAAAACAACTTTTTAACTTAAAAATTGAGTATAATTTTGTATTTCCTGCAATAATTTACTAATTAAATGTCTTGTAATTAAGTTTCATGAGTAAAGTTATCAGAGGTATTAATCGACCATGCATTTTGCCGTTGCTATCAGAAACTAGCTACTGTAAATTCAGAAATGCGTGCATTTATTATTGCGATTTATGAAGAATGGACAATAATACGATATTAATAATTGTGATTTTAGGAAATTTTGCAAACAGATGCATATATCAGATATCAAAATGTGAGTTCTAATTATTGTGATACTAACCCAAGTCGCACTATTCACATTAATAAAAACCTCGCAATAATTTCTGTATATACAGTATCTATTGCAGGGACTACATTTTAGGCATAAAAATTGAGGAGGAAACATGCAGTAAAGATACAGGGTCATACGTTTGGTTCCATGGCCGTATCACTTCATTTTATTATACTTGTAACTATCATTTACAATCAGATTACTACGTCATGTAAGGTACCGGTGCACCACACTATGTTTTCCGTAATACAGTATATGGTTTTCATTTTGACATTCATTTTGTAAACTTAGTGAAAATTAATTTATCTACATTCGATGCAACTAAAGAAAATGGGCAAATCATATTGTTATTGAAGTTGTGTGTAAGCTTATATTCCTTCAAGGCATTTGCCCAACTTAATGTACACATTTAACATCTGTACACAATTCAAATCGCTATGTCGTTGAAAGGCACGGTTGTCTTAGTTTCATTTGATATAACGTTGCTTAAAGCAAAAATTCTGTACCTTTTCCAGTGTATCATGAGCAGAAATGCCGTGATTACCAGTATTTAAACAAAGGAAGATTTGCTTGTCATTTAAACAAATGCCAATTGTGTGCAAAGTGGTTTTACAGAACAGTATTTACATAGGTATTTTCAGCAGACAAAATGTTGATACTGCACACCTGTGTTTCGTCATACATATGTTTTTCAGAGTTGTCTAAATCTAAAAGTTGATAGGAATTTTCGTAGTCTTGTTGTTCACTTGCAACATATATATTTCTGCTTGACATGTCGTCGCTGCTATTAGCTTCACTTGAAATCTCAAAGCCACTGTTTTCTGATTCTGGTTCTTGAACTATCACAGAATCTGCATCAACTGGATGGGTAGTGGGTTGTGTTGGAGAACTAACATTGTTGTCTACTAGCTCTATTTCATCATAGTGTACCTCTTGATGGACTTGCTGTCTAGCATTCGTCCTCCTTCGCTCACGACACAAACCCAAGAAAATGGTGCAAGCAATTCCAAAAAGAAGTCCTCCTATGGAGCTACCAGATATTTGCCAGGAAATGTTTAACGATTGAGCAGATTGTTTTTCTGAAAACAAACAGCGAATTTTGATTATTATTTTGAATGCAGCACTATTGATTTTTTTTAGGTTTGTCTGATCTCATTGATTATACAAATGTGATTGAGTGTTAACATCTTGATAAACATATAAGTTAAGTCTACAATTTATTTAACTGCGTTATGGTATAATATTTCATGTTGTGAGCACAGGAGCTATCATAGCTGCTTATTCAACTGTAAATATCACGAGGTGTATCACAATTTATGCTTGAAAATCCTTTAGCATGTTTAATAAGTATTATGCACGTAAACATTTACTTTTACTGTAGGTATTAAAAAAATGAATAAATTACAATTACAATGTTGCGATTCAATATTGCTTTTGGTTCCAGGGTTCTAACAACCTTCCCAATAATACAGCTTATTGGAATCGGTTGTTAATATACCCGGTATTGTCATAGTTGGAACGTTGCTGAATCTTTTTGATTATACTGTCATTTAACAGATTCAAAGTAAATTACAAAAGTTATTGCTGCAAACATTTGATAAAATGTAATAAAATTGTTTTGATGCGATATCAGTATGTTTATCATTATTTGGTTTTCATCATATTAGATTAGAAATATTTTTTCAAATGTGTTAAAACTTTATAATTCATCAATTGAAATTCGGTATTTGTAATTTTATCAACATTTTTGATTTATTGCCATAACAAACTATTTACTGAATGAAATCGTCTTTGACACTCTCTCACTCTCTTTTCACCATATGAAAATGATATCAAAAGTTAAAACCGACAGCAGATCTCAGGAGACAGCAAAGATTTCCTATGTTCAAAGTTTTCGATTTACTGACATAAAGAACTCTAAGAAATGAAAATAAGCGGCCATGATGAATAAATAAAAGAGTTTCTATAATACATATACTCTGCGAAACAAAAACAAATAGTGGTTATACAGGTATAAGTCCAATAAAATAATAACATCATTCCATTATAAATAAAACTTTACAACACCATGAACACATTGAGTCACTATGCACGATATTTTACGATTCGAATTGTAAAGCTGTTGAAAATAATATAAATTGATGTTTCGAAATTCCAGTGGATAAACGGATAAAGAAAAATGGAACGATACTGATAATTATATGTTCTGTTATCAAAATGAATTTCCATCTTGTCCATATATGTTAACGTTTAATGTTAGAATTACATGTGTTGTTAGCTAATCACAAGTAAATTTCAACGATTTAACATACCCAACATACATAAACTTAAATGTTTTGTAATTTTGTTACCAAGATGGACGGTCCAATGCTTCGGTTCTGTGTATATTTTTAAAAGAATGTTAATTAGCCGATAGCATTAATATTGCAGGTATTCTTTCATCACGCTGTATTAATATATTCATTTACTTGTCAATTTTTGAAATTTTTACCTATTATGTCTGTTTGTTTTGTTCCCATATTGTTGTCAATATAATGGATTTTCATGCGACTACACGTGAAAGGTTTAGTTAGCTATAAATATAAATAAGAAGATGTGGTATGAGTGCCAATGAGACAACTAACCATCCAAGTCACAATGTGCAAAAAGTAAACAATTATAGGTCAAAGTACGGCCTTCAACACAGAGCCTTGGCTCACACCGAACAGCAAGCTATAAAGGGTCCCAAAATGACTAGTGTAAAACAATTCAAACAGGAAAACCAACGGTCTAATCTATATAAAAAACGAGAAACGAGAAACACTTATGAACCACATCAACAAACGACAACCACTGAACAATAGGCTCCTGACTTAGGACAGGTGCATACAAATGCAGCGGGTTTTAACGTTTTAACAGGCGCCAACCTTCACCCTTACCTGAAACAGTAGTGTAACATTACAACATAAAAGAACACACAATAAAATATCAAATGAAATGGCTTAGCTCGATCAAAAAGACATATAAACAAAAACAGGTAAATATACACTGAACGAATAAGTTTGATCTATGACACAATATAAATAAAAAAAGATGAAACAATGTAAAAGAAAGACGACGTTAACCTAGGACAAAAATGGCGTTAAATAAAGTAACGTACACAGGTAAGTTTAAATATAATAATTTTGTTGTTAGGAGTATAGAAACATTTTTTTGAAAGTTTATCGTCATACTAAATTCTTATCAAAGGAGGTACATATCAAAAATAGTAAGACGAGATGTAACACAAAATAAGTAAACATTGAATAACAGAAATGCATTACAAATTGTGTCAACAGGTCAAATTAACACGGAAGTACGATTTGAGAGTACTCGCAGTTACTGAAAGCTAGTTAAAAGCCAAACACAATTAATAATAAAAATTCATGCATCAGAGACTAAAATCAATTAAAACACATCCCAGGCAGGGATTTGGTGTTTTAACGCCATTGACAGTCAAAGAAGACATGACTTGTGCAATGCCAAAATAAAAGTAACGACAGGCAGTAGGATAGTTGGGATTTAACCTTATAATAAATATGTATGATGTTATATATAGATAAAACAATTTATAAATAGAAAATAAACGTGTATGTGTATTTATATATCCCAAAAACCCATTCGAAAAGAATACAAATTTAGTTATGTTTAATTTGTTGATGACAAAATCGATGTTAGTGCCAATGTAAACAATATTCATTAATGTGATAACCTTTACTAATAAGTTTGTTCGAAGGGTCGATGAGTTTACACGGATCACATAGTGATTTTCGCGCTTTTAGTACAATATTACCGTAAAATTTAGGATGTGAAATACCTTTTTTAATAAGTTTTCTACAGGTACAGCCAAATTTACTTATCAAATCTTTGTATCTATGAAAGAATTTAGTAAATGTTTTAAGTAATTTATGGTAACGAAATCCCTGACTTCATAATTTACCAGTGATGCATTGATTACGTTCGTTAAAATCTATGACATAACTATACATACGGGCATAACGAACGAGTTGGGATATATAAACACCGTATGATGGAGCCAAAGTGATATCGCCGTCTAAAAAAGGAAAATTAACAATAGGGAATGAAAAATCGTCTCTTTTGTCGTAAATTTTTGTATGGAGTTTCCCTTTAGAAATTGAAATGTCTAAATCTAGAAAAGGACAACTACTGCTGTTTATGTTAAATTTATTTAAAGTAAGTTTCTTTGGGTAAATGTCGGTAGTATATTTAGAGAACTCTGGATTATTTAACGAAAAAATATCATCAAGATAACGGTAGGTATTGTTGAATGTGTCAACCAAATGTACCAATGACGTGTCTTTACTGAGTTTGGCCATAAACTGTGATTCATAGCAATATAGGAATAAATCTGCTATTAAAGGGGCGCAATTAGTGCCCATAGGAATACCTACTACATGTCGATACACTTTATCGCCGAAATGTGAATATATGTTGTCCAGGAGAAAATTTAAAGCTTCAATCATATCTTCACATTTCCAGTAAGTGTATCTAGATACTTTCCTTTTTCGTTACAGAAATAGGCTCTAAACGAGTTACAGCAAATAAATTTGCAATGAGATTTTTCAAAAGACCATTTAATTAAATATGAAAACTTTTTCTTGATAAGATTGTGTGGAAGTGTAGTGTAGAGAGTAGAAAAATCACTACTGTCAACATAATTAAAAGGACCACCAAAAGCACGTATTTTACCTAAAACCTCTAAAGAATTTTTAACACTCCAAAAATAGTTAATTAATACCATTATTTTCATAAACTTTATTACAAAAGCTAATAACAAGTTCTTTGATAGTAGTAAGGGAGGTAGTCAGAAGCACTGACAGATTAGTAGTAGTTAGATGCGGAGATGAAACGAAATTTAAATGGTTGTTTGTGTAATTTAGGTAACCAGTACATAGTAGGGACTTTCAAATGTTCGGAAGAGGCTTTAAGCTGGGTAGTGGCAGTGATATGCCTTTTTACAATTTGACTCTCTATGGAGCATACGGACCTGAATGTAGAAGAATTGATAATTTCGTTTTGGAGAACTTCCGTGTAGTATATGCGTCACACCACCACTACATTATTGGCTGCTTTGTCTGCCGGTACGAACACAAACCGCTTTGCGAGTACTTGGAGTTTATTTTTTATTCTAGAAATTGGTATATCATGAACCCTATTATTAATTTCAGAATTGTTTTCAAAATGGGATATACGAATATCAACAGTATTCATAGTTGTATTCAAATAACTGTCTAGAGATTTTTTATCAGATTTTTCACGTTTACATCAATTTTTACAGTAGGCAGACAGAGCGTCTTTAATGACATGACGACACTGTTTCCGATCTATGATGGAGGACGATATTTAGGTCATTTCTTAAGAAAAGTTTTGACCTCACGGTCTTCAACGATGTTGAGGTCTCCTGTAATGACATGACCATAGGAAACATATCTAAAACTAGATGTTTCACAGTCTCAAGTGGAAGGAGCATTATTTTCTTTATTGACGTCTGATGTTACTGACGTATAATTAAAAATCAAACTCCTGCTGTGTTTTTTGTACGAATACAAAATAATAGGTGGTTCTGTATTATCAAGATAAACCAGGTTTAATCCACCATTTTTTACATAAGGACATGCGTGTACCAAGTCAGGAATATGATAGTTGTTTTCCATTCGTTTGATGTGTTCGAGCTTCTGATTTGCCATTTGATGAGAGACTTTCCGTTTTGAACTTTCCTTAAAGTTCGGTATTTTTGTTATTTTACTTTTTGTCACTTACCAGCATCTATAAGGTCGACAGTAAAGTTAGCATTACCAAGAGAGTTTTCTATCCAAAATGTGTATGAAGTGAAGTCGTTTGCTTCAATAATAAATCCTAGAAGTGTTATTTTGAATCCGTTCATTCGAAAATCTTTTGAATAGATTTTGTCAGTAACAACTGCATTTTCAATGGCTATATAGTTGTGTTCAACTGAAAAAATTCCACGAGTTTTAACACTCAAGTTGTTGAACTTTGGATAACAATACACGAAGACTCTTATATCAATTTCCGTACCAGTTCTTCCATACTGTATATGTTCGTTTTGTTCCACAAACACTGGTTTGTCTGAAATATTCATCATTTGTTTGTTAATGAAAAGAACAAAAACTTGGTTTGCATTTCAATGTATGAATAATATATCAATAAACATGTATAATATTTCTAAATATTTTTCCATTTCTTGCCTGAAAATGTAGTTTTCATCCTTTTATTAATTGGATAAACATGACTACGGTTCTTACTTGCATTTTCAACATGTCTGTATAAGCTGCAGAAGTATGCTGTAAAACTTAGATAATATGTCTTACATCGAATAAATTAACACTTACTTCATTACAGAAAAAACAAAACGTCATTCGTTTTTAATGTTTGACATTCGAATAAATTTGTTACTTGATTGCATACAATATTTCGTTAATGATACTATGTAAGCTTACACTGGCACATCACTTGTTCCTGTTTTCGACATTACAAAATTATATTTAAAACAACATAAGTTTCACCCATCTCTTATACTTTTACTTGTGAGTACTGTTTAATAATCCTAGTAGTTATAACATTCGGTTCAAATTTGGTTGTCAAATACTTCTGCTTTATGATTTTGGTAAACCATGCGCGCGTTTCGTCTACTTAATACTCATCAGTGACGCTTCAAACAAAGCAGTTAAATAGGCCGAATCAAGTAGTTAATCATACGAAGTTGTAAAGCACTGAGGACCCGATATTTCGAAAAGTTTTGCCAAAAACAGCTGAGGTAATCTTTTCCTTTGGGTAGAAAATCCTTAGTATTTCGAACAATGCAAAGTTTTGTAAACATCTAATTTATGAGTATGACTACATTAATGATTAAATTTCATATCATATGCTACAAATCAATACTACTCTGTTAAACAAAGACATCATAATTAAAATGACTTTTTTGTATACTTTACGTCTTTAAACTAGCCTTGTGGAATGTAATATAGCTTAATGCAAAATGAAAAGTGCTGGTCAAATTCAGTTTCATTTCATGACATTGATACATACAAATTGTAATGTTTACACATGGTAAACCAAATACCTATTAAGATAAAAAAAGAAAAAAGAAAAAAGAAAAAGCAAAAAGTCGTTACAAGATTGGCTTTCTGTAAAAAGTCTGTTCCTACCATTTTATTTTGCTCTAAAGGAGATCGAAAATTATTCTCAAGTGTTTTTGTTAGAGCAAACATTGGTTGAGTGTGAATGATTCATTAAGTTGTTTTTTTTCATTTGACCTGCAATGATATGATTAACTGACCATTTTGCCTCACGAACACTTGTCCTGACTGAATTTCCGTAGCATTTTCATATGACACACCATTCGCTGCTCTACAGACATATATCCCATTGTATTGGTACACATTCAATGTGGCATCGTTTACTTGCAAGTTGATCGTTTCTGTGCTTTTCAGATAACGGATAATCTCTCCAAATTCTGTCTGGTGTATCCATGGATAAAATGTATAATGTTGAGGTTCACCATTTGGTATGCATTGCAAGACCTTCTTTTCCAAGTCTGTTTTAATTACAATTGATGGCGGGTCTACAAAATCCTAATTTTACTTGTTGTACGATATTAAAAACGTATAATACAAAATCTGTGTAAAATTCAATATCACTAAATGAATGATAGAAATTGCAGTGATCAAAGGTAATATAAATAATGTATAACGGAAACAACTATTATAAGTATATGTCAATCAAAACATATTCTACTCAATTCCACATGAATATAACGATTTGTATACATACTATATAAAAAGGAATATAAATAAGAATATGAAATAATCGAAACAATACATATGAAGCTTTAAATTGCTTAAGCTTTAAATATATTAAATATAGGAAATCAAACCTTCGGAAAATTGAAATGTAGAAAGCATGATTCATACATTTTCATTAAGAATTATGTGTTTACATTAAAAAAAGAAAGCACTGCCTCACCTTGATTTAGAACATTAACATTTACGATTGTTTTAATATAAGGCGTAGGCAAACAAATCATTTGTACGTGAAAAGTAAAATGTCGTCTTTAAACAAAAGATTTGAATATATTAAGTTTGTTTGTAGTATTTTTTCCAGTAATTTTTTTTATCCTATTCTTTTAGCTCTGGTGTACTTTGTCTTACTAAATCAATCGGTTTTAATGCAAACTTTATATTTCTCCTTTGATTTGTACAATTATTAAATTACTAGTTTAGGTCTCCGCGTTTCTCTGTTGAAAGCAACATATCACTAAAAATGCTGTTTTGAATTTCAACAATGAATACCCTAAATCATATATACATACATTGAACAATGACTGTAATACTATCGTAGCCTTGACCAATAACATTTGATGCTCTGCAGGCATATGTTCCTGAGTCATCCCGACTGAGATTGAACAGATCCCAGCTAAATGTTGATGTTCCTTGGCTAACATGATATATTGTGGAATTTCTCTCCCAGAATATTGTAGTTATAACAGGATTACTATCGACCAGGCATGATAAAGAAAGATGTTGTGCCATATTTATCCGTAAATAATCTTTTTCTTTGCGTACGGTTACATATGGCCTATCTGCATAACAAATATTATGTGTATGTTCTACATAATACAAAATCTGTGTAAAATTCAATATCACTAAATGAATGATAGAAATTGCAGTGATCAAAGGTAATATAAATAATGTATAACGGAAACAACTATTATAAGTATATGTCAATCAAAACATATTCTACTCAATTCCACATGAATATAACGATTTGTATACATACTATATAAAAAGGAATATAAATAAGAATATGAAATAATCGAAACAATACATATGAAGCTTTACATGCTTAAGCTTTAAATATATTAAATATAGGAAATCAAACCTTCGGAAAATTGAAATGTAGAAAGCATGATTCATATATAACATGATACAAATACCTAGCACACACATGATTGTGTATTTTTTTTACATATGACTATTGTATGCCATTTCAATTAGCTCTTCACATCTTTATGTACTCTTTATATCTTTGGCTTGACACATTATAGGTTTGATCGGCATATATGTCTTTTGCTCATTGATAATAGCCAAACGACTAATACATCGTAACGCTGACGTTTTAATGAAGATTATTTTGCATTATTACTTTTCGCATTAATTTTGGACTCCGTCATCAGGTTATATGTGTGATTATGTATACAAGGGATGTAACGGCAGTCTGTTGAGAGAAATTTACATTATCTCTAAAACTAAAGATACAATAAGAAAGATTGGTATATTTGTAACACTCCCAAACGTGTTCATCCCCCTAAACGTGTCCGATTCCCCCCAAACGTGTCTATTTGGCCCAAACGTGTCCTTAAAATTCGAAATTGCCCAAACGTGTCTGATTTCATAACCCCAAAACGTGTCCAAGAATTGTTATTCACCAAAACGTGTCCAGTTTAAAACGCAAAAACATCTCAAAACCTTTAGCGCTAATTTGTTCTCAGTGACGTCAATAAAGTATACGACAATTCAATGATAGGGAACATGATTGAAGACGTCGGGTTTCGGTTGGATTCATAAAAAAAAAAGACCGAAGACGCTATCCAAAAACATCCGGAGGAAAGGTGTAGTGATCCGTATAGACAAATGTCCAAGATATGGTACACTATGCAAAGTGACTTCTGCTTTCAAGTGAAACAGACACCAGATAAGAAAAAGAATTGCACAATAAAAAGTTGTTTTTACTTGCAGCGGTTTTATTTTTATCAATATGATTATCATTGTTTTAAATTCTAGATGGAGGTACTTCACAATTAAGAAATCTAATACTAGTACATTTTTTTAAAGTTTGCAAGTTTTCTCAGTGCTTCACTATTAATAAAAGTGGTCATTTATTAGCCTTAATTAGTTTGTTCAACGCCGGTTGTTTATATCAGGCATAATTGCAAGCTTAATTCGCAAAGCATAATTAACTATTGACTGTTGAATGCTTAATGTCCAGTGACAAATATTTCATGCATATTTAGAGTAAACATAAATATTGCAATTAACTAGTTTTAAACAGTTTAGTTCATCGTTTACTTAGTAAATTATTTTGTACTAATATACTCCGGTGCTGCCTATCTGTTATTGCACGACCGGCTTCTTGCAGAAGTGGTTTCTGAGCTTTTTGAATAGGAGACGTTTTGGCTTCATATGGACACGTTTGGGGGGATTGGACACGTTTGGGTGTTTTTAAAAAAATTGACACGATTGGGCGTTCATAAACAAAACACGTTTTGGCACCCTTTAGCAACAAGACATGTTTTGCAGTTCAGTGACGTCATATGGACACGTTTGGGGGAATCGGACACGTTTGTGGGGATGGACACGTTTTTGAGTGTTACATATTTATAGTAAGCAGTAAATGTCGCTCATAACACTGGCTCGTTAAGATTACTTTACTATTACAGGTCTATATTGAAACCATGTCGACCATTGAATCCACTTAAGAAATAATTCATACCAGATTTCAAAAAGGGTGAAATTTAGGACTGTTTTGGTGTTTTATGAACTGTTTAGGTGTTTTATGGACTGTTGTTTGTCATATCTTCATTTTTCTTTATGGTCCTGTTAGAAATAAAAAACAGTCGAAACGTCACCTCATTGCATGTCATAATATTGCCATAGTCGAACCAATAATTTAATCGTGTCATCATGGAATGCAACTAATCACCAACGTTTATTTGCAATACATAACAGAACAGGTGCAGTAGGAAAAACAGACAACTGCTCACCCTTCCCGATAACCTTATTTAACGTCCGCTTTTTGGTGGGGTTTGTGTTGCTCAATCTTAAGTATTCTTGGTATTATTTTGATGACTATTGTTGGTCTTTTGGACCTTTTTCGTTTTGAAAATAGTTGTCTCCGATTATCTTCTTTTTAACATTTCCTTCTTAGAACATGATCCCCACCAGTGATGCAAACCATTATTTGAAATTTCAAATAAGAAGCACTCTGATCTGGCATATTACTATTATTTAGCTTACATTTAATGTTCAACTTGACAGTTATCTGAAGATAATTACTTAACGCACTACTGTTTACAGTGCAGATGTATATTCTTCCATGGTCATATCTCTGTGGAATAATGTTTAGTTCATATGATCCTGGTCCTCCTATACCAAGCAACCATGAATCATTAAACCACCTTATCGCTTCTTTTGGTTCACCGCTAGTCACACTGCATCTTAAAACTAAGGAATGATTTTCAGTCCCATAAAGAACTCCTGTATCTTCATCATGAATTGTTATATTCCTTGGCGGTACTGAAAAATATAAAGAGGATACCACTGCTTGTTGAATTTCGCTCCCATATTTATCATCAACTCAGTAGTCAGCACTTTTGCGTCGACATACAATTTGAGCATGACAAATCAGAGTTTCCTGAAATTTAATATCAGGCCCCATGTGAACATGTTGTACCGTGTGGTGCATTTTCATATTCAGCGCTTGTCCACTTCTCGTTTACCGAAATTTGAAATGTTGAATCATTTAAAGCACTAAGGTTTTTATACCCCAGTCACAAATAACATTAACCTTAATGTTTGCACTTCAACTTCGTATTTGCTTGGCCTTTCTTTTGTTTTGATTCAAGCTCTACTTATTAGTCTTGTGTAGATGAAACGTGCATTTGAAGTACGTTTTCTTGATCCTCGTACCTTTGATGAGTTTTTGTACACAATAACGTTCAAAATATACAAAACTCATTATTTAATGTAAACGAAAATTCTGAAATCAGTAGGTTAACTTGGTAAACAAACCAAAAATCTGAAGTTTTTAATTCAGTACATTGTTTATAGTTGTTGTTGGTTGCTGTCCGTCATATTTGCTTTTTCGTTTATTGTTTTAGGCTGTTGTTTTTTTTTTCTTTTCAAATGTTTTATATTTTGTCATTCCGGTGACACATAAAGCTCACTTTACAGTATGGATTTTGCTCATTGTTGTAGATCTTAATGTGACATATAGTTATTTAACTCCACGGAACGCGCGTTTGCGTACACAATTTTAATCCTGGTATCTGTGATGAGTTTATTTGATCCTGAAAATATAATTACTTTAAGATTATTACAATTTCAAAATATAATTAGATAGAATGTGGCTACCCAGTACACACGAGAACATCTTACACGATACGTGGACGCACTAACGAAAGTACAAAATGAAAACATCATTTCAACGACTCCAAAGATTAAAAACGTAGTCGGTCTAAAGTTTATCATCATATAAGAATAAGGAGATGTGGCTTGTTAGCGAATGAAATAACTTTCAACCAGAGTTCAAATGACGTAGATGTAAGCATTATAGATCGCCGTACGACCTTCAACAAACCGTATAGTCAACCATAAAAGGTCTCGACATGAAAATATAGAACAATACAAACGAGAATACTTACGGTCTCATTTATAACAATACCATTTACGAAATTCATATATGACAGACATGAAGCAACGAAAACCACTCAATTACAGTTTCCTGACTTAAGACACTAATTTTTCGCGATTTACACTTAAGGAAAACCACATGAATATC